GATATTCAGAAACATTCATAACAATAGTGTCTCGCTATTTCTGAAACTTTATCGATGTTATGTTGTTTTGATATTATAGTATGGGTCACAGATCTGGAGCCCGCAAACTAGAAACCTTCAAGCGAAAGTAGAGAAAGATCAGCAAACCTTCACAAAAGTATTGATGCATGCATGCCTGATTACAGAGGATGTCTACAGCGGCTTAAGCTGAAGACGCTTCTCTATAGACGGGTTTACAATGACATCGTCTTCGGTTTCAAACTGCTCCAGGGGAACTAGAGCTCAAGCCGAGGAAGTACTGGATTTTTAGGCTTTGCCGGGGACGTACTAGAATACTCTCCATACCTTGCCCTTAACTGGCTAAGAAGCAGTGCATTTTTAGACAGTATCCATGGAGAAAAGGGACAAGGAGCATTAAAAAATCACGCAAAAGCGCTAAATGGATGACGTACGTAGGCAGAATACAAGCAGGTCCGCAATTCGGCTTCTTATAGTAGAGGCGTCATTGATCGCGCTTCTATCAGCTAGACAGAACAGACAGACGGTTGCCTGGTGTGAACGAGTTGCTTACCCCGCGAGCCGCTTCAAATGGGCGGTGCGACCCCGCTCATCGCGCCAAACGACCGCCTCCCATTTCTTGCCACTCCAACCTATCTCATCAGCGTTCCGAACATACTGCCTATGTCAATACCGAATTTGGAAATTCCAGCTCTGAAGGAATTGATTTTCAGGTATGTCCATCAGTGCTTCAGTCATGCCGCTTGCAAGCTTTCCGTTTTTGGAAGCTACAACTCGGGAGGAACTATTTTTGAGTGAGCCTACTGGTACTCTCGTAGTACTGCTTGCTTTTTCCGAGCTAGAGTTTTCTTTTCAAATCAACAAGACATTGCGTAAGTCCATAACTGTTTACGACATTCTGCCTGTGCCTCATCCGGAATCGAACACTCCCCAACCCTCAAAGTACAACTTTTGGGTGAGCCCACCAGTATTCTCATCCTGACGCTTGCACACTTATCATTTTTAAGAGCTCTAAATCTAGTGAGCTCATCAATGTCTCTATGATGTAGTCTGTTTCTCTTCCAGATGCGAACGCTCTTGCTATGGGTGAACAAATTGTTGCATTAGCGCCTTCGTGTTTTGATCATGAAGCTTGCATTTTTTTTCTTTTTCTCTTTCTTTCTTTCTTTTATACGCTTTAACTCCGGATTAACAAATTTTTGCATCGGCATGTCAGTGTTTTCATCACGCCGCCTGCCTCCTCTGGAATTGAATCCTCCAGCTTGAACTGTAGAGCTTTTAAGCGAGCCAAACAGTGTTCATGTGTTATCGCTTGGTCGCCTTCCAATTGTACCGTTTTCGCAAAAAAAAACAAGGAAAGCAAATCAGTGTTTGATCCTGCCGCCATTGCCTCTGCCAGATTCGTTCCATCCGGCTTTGCAGAAACAAATTTTTAAGGAAGAACGTTGCTGCTCCTTACTTAATGCTTGCGCGCTTCCCGATTCAAAACGCTTTTATCTGAACACTTTTCATGTAAGCAAATTAGTGTTCCTGATTTATTGATCGAGTCGCCTCCAAATTGGAAGGCTCTAGTTCTGCAAAACCGAATTTCCATCCACGCCTATATGTGCTCTCAGCCTACCGTCTGTGCCCCTTCAAAATTTGATCTCGAACAGATCTCCGAATCTGCCACTCAGGCAACAGGCGCTTGTTGTTTGTTGACGAGGTTTGTTGAAGTGCAAGTGCTTCGATCTAAATCACTCTCAAAACTCACATTCAATTCTTTCCTTTTTTGAGTGATTTAATAAAATGATAGTGCGAGCAAACAATATACATTTTTTCAAGCAGGATTACGTTATGCACAAGAGCGGAAATTTGTCGTCAATACTCGATTCCGTGCAAATTACGATTGAAGGATGTGTTATTAGAATTTTTCATCGTTTCTTAACAGGCTTTATTAGAGTGAATTCCTCACATTTTGACATCTGTACATCTCGTTCTGTGTGATTCCCGAAACAACGGGCTTTCCTGTTGGAAAGTTTTGACAGATTCTGTTTCACACCATGAGCGACAACATCAACTTAAAGAAATCGTATTATAACGACCTTAAAATCCATTCACTAGTTTGCACAAAAGTATCCTTTAGCATTCATTCTTGCACCTCGGCAATTTTCATTTTATTTCCTGGTTAAGAAGTTGTAATCATAATGAGCAGAAGCGTCAGACTTTCGGCAGCTAATTTTAAAAAATTAATCACTCATATCAGGCTAAACAATTTTTTCAAAAACAAGGATCATTCGCTTCTACACGTTTTTGCCAACTGAAGCATGTTTGTTTGTTTTATTACTTATTTATTTCGGTGACTGGTTTCCGAGATTTCGAGAAAGGCAATCCTCACGTCGCGCGATCTTTACGGACTTGTCCAAATGTTTGACAAAATGGAAGTCAGTTGGTGAATGAGGGTGAGCTTCAATCTGCAGCTTGCTAAACTTCTGGAAGAAGACTGGTGACACTTGCGGTTGCGCACTATCGTGCCGTGGATCACGGCGATTTTCTAGTGCTGGATGCATTTGCTCCAGTATCGTGAACATCTCGTTAATTCGATCACGGTAGAACTGTGACACCGACACTGAGAACAATGACGGTTCGACCTGCATGTCCGAATGAGTAATGGGTTACACAAGGTTGACGGATTACAACTTCTTAACCAATAAACTGCCGAGGAACAAGAATGAAGGGGGAGGTAAAAAATATCACGTCGAAACGAGTAGTGGGTCAATTCATGGCGAGGCCACCGAATTGTGGCCATTGTCCTCTTGACGTGTAAACTTGGCTTGGAAAAGTTTTGGAGGCTCATCTACACCCACCCACTGGGCAGTACGTTTTGTGTTGCCGTATTAGATTCATTTTCCATCACACGTTACAATATGAAGGAAGGGCTTAACAACATTCCTTCACAGGAGCGAGCCTGAAACCTCTAGGCGCTTCACTTCCAGCTGCTCGTGAAATTGTGTGCCACTCACTTGTCAAGTTTCTTCAATTGACATCTTAAAGACATCAAAACCCTTACTGAAGGCAGAAGGTATGATAGAAACAGCAGCTATTGATTCACCTAGGAAGCACAACATGTCGGCTGGTCTGATTAAGCAGCCGCCATATTTTGAATTTATATGGCGCGTGCGCTACACGGCAAGAACTTCTCTTACAACCTAATACCGATGAACATTTTTCACAGAAGTAACCATTCTAGCATTGCTCGACCAACCATGCTGTAGTAAGCAAATTCTGGACAAATTCCCAGTATGTTTTCATGTTCTTCAAATTTGGCTTCCCGTGAGTCTGCGTGATCAGTATCGTAATATGTTATCCGCATAATATTAAAGTCAAGTGCTTCTGCACAATCGTGAGTTTGAATTTGATACTGTCATCTAATTTCTCCTTAAACTCCACTAATCTTGGATACTATTTCTCCTCAGGGCTTCGGAAAACGTTTTCCATCTCGTCATAGTAAATGCGGCATCGAAAGTTTTTCCAACCAGGGGATTACCTCGAGAGCTCTTGATAAAAAAAAGCGCCCATTATATGTAGGCACATCTCTATTCGTTATCCACCTATGTTGTTCCTTCTACCCGACAGGCGCGCTCTTCTCGCCGTACCCAATAGCGTGTGGTCGCGCACTGTTGGAGAGAGGATGCAAATCTCTATTTGGTCGATTGCAGTAATTATCGCGAGCGCACTGCCGCTTGCTATGGGAACTGAGAATGAAAATGAAAAGGTGAAAATACCGCTACTTCTTCCCGCTGAATTTTTAGCTCTTAGAACGTATGGTATCCCGATCGTGATTTTTTCTTCTGAAAGCGGCCCAAGTAGATGAGGGCTATGTATACCAAAATTTCTTAGTCTTCCCCCTCCCCCCTTCTCTGGTTTAATAATCGGTTCTTCCAAACCCTATCAACTCGAGATATCGATTGTACTTGAGCATATCCTGGTCTACTTCCGCCTAATCGGAGCATTCAATCAGCTTTATTTTTTGCGTTTTCTCAAACTCTAAGACATCCTTGAGCAAAATTGTCAATTTGTTGAGAGCGTCATCTCAGTGAGAGCTAGACACTCACAAACCTCCGCTTGGAATATTTCGAACTTCACCCTCCCTACCAATGTATAGTAGCGACCACTCGAGAAACGCTCTGCCCATGAGTGTATTTCTGAATCTACGCTCACGTAGACCTTTGGAGAACTCAACCCGTGACTCGGAGCCAGCCTTGGTCACCACGGGGAACACGTATTCAGCTTTTGGCTTATCATCACCACTTTCGCCAATCTAGAACCAATTTGTGCTCTTAAAGATTAGTTTTCTAATTTGAGCTATACCTGACCCCTGACTATCTCAGTGCACATTCTGCATAGTGCAAAGATAAAATCTCCATTCTTTGCTGGTCTCTGTACACTTTTCCTACCCTTTAATACTTAAAGCAACGACCATGCAACTTTGAGGTTTTCGCTAAGCTCACCTCGATGTTGCTCGATAATCATGAAGATTGAGCGTGCCTTTTCATTTAATTTAACATCGCATTATCCCTGCTTTTTTCACTTTCACGGCTTCACGGCAGAGTCTCCAATTTTTTTGAATTCGAGTGGATATATCGTATATTTTATAACTATATCTGACTTTGTATTGGGCATGATCTTTCTAGAAAACATTCACTGAACCTTTTCAATATATCCCGGCAACCCCCTCTCCACCTATGTTCTTTTCTATTTTTGAGCTTTATGAAAAGGTTGTGGTGAGATAGAATGAAGTAGTTTCGTTTCTAAAATCTTTATCTATTATAGATGCACGACCTGCCTTGGCACCGCTTATCTCATGTGCTTCGTTCACCATCTTGAACTTACTCTGCCTCCACAGTTGCTTCTTCAGAGGAAACCAAAACGAGTATTCTTGCGAGTCTAGCGAATTGATGCACGAATGACAGGCTTCGAATAAGTGAAGAACGCCATCAGACTCACTCGAACAAGCCTTTCCTATCTGCCATTATAAGATGAGCATTGCTCATTCTACCGATGGAGTCCTGACGAAGATATTTGAGGAAGAAGTCTACCATGTCTTCGGTCTGAATATTAGCACAGACATCACAGGTATGATTACAGAACAAGACATGGAAGCCTGTTCGCAACTGTTGGAGCATATTCAAAGTCGTCTGGTGAACTTTTCGGGAACGTCATTGCCTCCTCATTCTGATTGAAGTAAATATCCGGATCGAATATTACAGAATACTCATCACCATCCAAATCACTTCCTAGAAAAGATGCTTAATTAAGTAAGAGAATGACAAAGTAGAAGAGTGACGGGGCAAAACTAACCAGCCATCTCATCGGGATGAGGGCGAGGACCATGCTTTGGGAAAACTACGACGTCGAATAGATGATTTAAGGCAGGCTGGTATACTGCAGCAAACATTCTAACATCACCAGCTACGTGGCATGGGTTTTTCGTAATCAGAACTGGGCCTAGAACTTGCATTACCTCTTGTTAAAGAGCATCCCACGGGAGTACCTGTATATATCCTCAGCCTTCCATCCGGTTTTTTGATTGATGAAGAGTACTGAATGAAGACCTGACTGTATTGCAGTAGGCCAGTCTCGTCGAAAACGCCGTACATAGAACGACCGACACCGTGCGGAAGGAATATTTTGGCCTCAATATGACGTGGTGTGAAGCCAGTTCCAAGCATTGTGAATTATGAATAAATAAATAAATAAATAAATAAATAAATAAATAAATAACTGTCCAAGCTCATGCATAATAATGACCTCGCGTAACATCTCTTCGCGATTACTTGTTATGGTCACAACATTCATATTCACTCGTTGTCTTGAAAGCGTCTTCAGTTCCATAACAGAGCCGCTTTGCACAGCTGTCTTCAGTCATCTTTTTTAGTTTCCTCGACTCTAGCAAAAACAGTATACGAGCAAAAACAATAACAGCAACTTCGGCATTGACCACTGTAGATGCCTTTGAATTTTCAGGATAATCTCTAGCTCTCAATCCTTCGTGACGGATTGGAATCATCAGAAAGGAACGTACTCTAAACATTGTTATCCCAACACGATTTTTTAACTTCTCCATGTTCTTAATACTTGGAGTTTACATCATGTTACACTGAGCAAAATAGGTCATCGAGTTCTGGGAGATATCTCGGCTTTTAGGTGACCCTTTCCTCCTTCCCAGCGGCTATTGTTCCCATGCTCGACCACAACCACTGCGGTGTCGTTACCCCGTCGTGATTATGTGATGACTAACGTAACAGAGAATACTGCTTGTACGTGAAAGAACAGGAATCCAGCACTAATGAACATTTTTCTGCTTTATACAGGAGGGAACGACGAGGCGACCGATGCACATTTTTGTGCCTCCTCACCATAAATAAATAATTCCTACTATAAATAATATTTCCGTGATCAACCAACGATTTGGGATGGATTATTCCGTATGTGATAGACTAATCCGTTGCGAACCGTCGCATCGCTATAAATTTTGGTAAAGTTTTCCAATCGAATTGAAAGTAGAATCAACTGAAAGATCCGCTCGTGAAGATTCAGAGATACAATGAAATTTCGTTTCTCTCAAGTATCTTGCCTTTATCCACATGTAGAATGAAAAAAGAATCTCTCAGCCCCTGGGGTGTTATTCGCACGTATAACAGCATCGGTAACCCTAGACTTCAAAAACAAACTTCGTTTCCAATGTTTCAAGGATATACACGGCACTATACTCTAGGGTAGCATGAAAACATGATTATTTTTATACCCTAATGACAAAATTTAGACAAATTTAGCTGAAAAAAATGAAGGTTCCAATGGGATAAGGAATGCCTGCAAAACCAGGCCATAGATGTGCGGCCGACAAAGATTTTGACTTCAGATTCGTGAGCAGACTTCAATCGGTGCCCATTTTACAATTGGTTCACGTGTTGTTCAGCTACGGCATGGATTGATAAGGGTAACTGCTCAAGAACCTTGGTGCTGTTTTTCGTGCTATTATAATTAATAACTTTGATGTTAGGTGGTGAGATCGCCTTGTAACTGACCTCTGAGCTAAGTCATCCCTCAATATAGACCACTATTAGCACATCGCCTCGCTATGACCAGGCCCTTTCTGGATCATATGTACCTGTGTCACATATGAGATGATAAGCAGATTTCCATTTTCAAACACTAAATTGGGCAGGCTGTCATGACCTCAGCCCTCTGTTCTGAAATCTCCTTTTGTATTGCTGCGGATCACAAGATCGCGCGGGAGGGACCGCGAGGGTTTCCCGCCGCCGCCGGAGATCAAGAAGGCCAGGAGCTCACTATAAAAGCAAAGCGTTTCCTCTGAGGTGGACTCCCTCCCGCCTTCGCCAGACTCCTCAGACCCCCCCCCC